TTCTTTGATTTCGGTTTCGGGGCGGCCGTGATATGCGCATCCGTAGCATGTAGATTAATCAGTGCCCGACCAAGAACCGCGGCAACGGCGTGCCGCACCGGCGCAGCGGGGCTGTCGATAACCTTCCATACAAGAGTTTTGAGGTGTTCAAAGTCATTTGTGTTATCGAAGAATGGTGTTGTGGCAACCAACTGCTCCAGGCAGCGGCATGCATGGACTTGGACGAAAGTGGACTTGTCGCCGATGGCAGCGTTCCGGGCCTGCTTCCAGATATCACGAGCAGTTCCTTCATCGATCGGAACACCAATTCCAACAAAAATCTTGCGTATCACCGCAAAGATAACTCCCCTGAGACCAGTATGGTTGCTTGCTGATTTCAGCAGCTTGAGCGCACCTGAAACCGCAACATTGGACTGCATGAACGCGCTCTCACCGGCCGTCGCAAAGACCTCCCCTAGACAATGCGCCGCAGCGAATTTGGTCTTCAATTCGGCTTCACTCTTGCCAGCATTCACAATTGCCAGCAGGTCGGTGATTGTTTCGAAAAGGATCCCGCGGTCCCCTTTGCTGAGTATTGTGCCAAAACATCGCCCTAGATTGTTGCGGAGGACTCGAGTGATAGTCGGTGAAGGTAGGTTCAATATCTTGAACAATTCCTTTTTGAGATCTTTTTGGTGTGATGTAACTTCCGTAGCTTCCAATCCAGATATGTATTGTACGAGGTCGGAGGTGAACGTAAGCATGTACAGTTCCTGTTGTTCGGAGGGGAGGGCATGTAGTTTAGGGATATCGAGCACAGGGACCCCATTTTGTGGAGGAGAGGGTGCTGGGGTATCGGAAGACATGAGATAGATTCAGGGCAAGCGTAGCCCCATAAGAAATGAAAGAAAAAGAAAAAAAAATGTTGGAGTATTTAGTTCACAGTAGTTGCGTCAACCCCATGTTCTCCTTATCGTGTGGCCTCAGTGCCTGCGGAGATCGGATAAACAGCCGCCCGAGGGAATCTCAATAGAGATCAGCTCTTCGTCTACAATATATGGAGGGAAAGCATTATGGCTCTCAGGCTTAGTAGGCTGCTACGCCAGCCCCGAGTTGATTCCACCTGTCATGAGTGTCGCTACTTCAGCACCTCGTCGGTCATTTTCTCTGGGCACAACAAATGGTCCACAATTAAACATGACAAGGCCAAAAACGACAAGGCCAAAAGCAGGGAACGCCAAATAGTGGGAAAGGAAATCGCCAGTGCTACACAGAGTATGTATGATCATTCAATTGTGTGTATCTCAGGTCCTAATGCTCTATCCTAGTGTGGGGACCCGACACGAAGTACAATCCTCGTCTAGCCCTCGCCCTGTCGAATGCGAAACGAGCCTCCATCCCGAAGATTATCATCGAAGCCGCAATTGCTCGCGGACAAGGACTTAGTGTATCGGGTCAAGCGCTAGAATCTGTGACAATTGAGGCCATGCTGCCTGGTTCGGTAGCGGCGGTTGTGGAGTGTCAAACGGATCAGAAAGCGCGCGTGCTACAAGACGTTCGCTATATGATCAAAGACAATGGAGGAATCGTCACCCCGACTACATTTCTCTTTGAGCGGAAGGGAAGGGTTGTTATGGAAAAGAAAGATGGTGCGAATGCAGATGACTACTTGGACCAGGCGATCGAAGCAGGAGCGGCAGATATCACCACCGATGACAAGGGTCGCCTCGTAATCTTGACCGATCCGTCAGAGACGAAAACTGTGGGTGAGACATTTTCGAAACTGTCAGGTCTCAGTATTGAGGAATTGGAGATCTTCTGGGATCCCAACAGGGATAGCATGGTCGAGGTCAAGGATGAGGAACAGGTGAAAGATCTTGAGGACCTCTTGAGTGCTCTACGGGAAGATCCCAGTGTTCAAGATATCTATCTGAACTCGATAGAGAAGTTCTAACCTCTTCGACCTTATGCTGCGGTCAGTCTGAAACCGAGACTATTTCATATTGAGGGCCGAACATGTACAAATATGTATTATACCGATACCGAGCATTTAAATGGCGTTATGGGAACTTTCATTTCTAGAACTGGTGCGAAACCACACATATTATTATTACTCTTTGCGCAAAGCCTTCATTGTGCTTCGCATGAGAATGCTAGTACCCCGGCACCCAATCGCATCCAACCAATCTAGCATATGTACACGGTACTCCTGCCATGTAATCTTGGCACCGCCATCCTTCTCCAGTGCCTGTAACACTTTCTGGGTGACGGGCTTTCTCAATCTCGGGGGATGATCCGCTACCTGTTGGTCCTCTTCCAGGTCTGCAAAGCAAGCTGCAGACAGATTGCAGAATGCAGCGTGGTGACTGAGAGAGAATATCGATGTAAGATTAAGATGGAATGCGCTTTCACGGTCATAATGCCTAGCTGCCTCAGATACATCCTTGATATAGTTCGTGAGGGCAGTGGTGGTCGGCGCTGGGATGAGGCAGCCTAGAGCGTTCGGGTCTTCGGTGTTAAGTGCACGGTTGCGCCATAGCACATTACACATGTCCATAACATACCCATTGAACCGACCAACGAGATCTGTTCCATAAGCCGGGGAGTTTTGTGCTTGCAGAACTTGGGAATTCAGAGAAGCCTCAAATGCAGATTTGTAGACGGCCAGGATGGAGTTGAGGGTTGAGATCACAGCGACACTGGGTGTGAATGCGAGTGTGTATACGGTTTGCGCGTGCGGAAGTGTGAGGCGGAAGCGGCCGTTTTGGGGTGCGTGAGAAAAGAGTTCTGAAATAGTTCTGTAGAAGTCGAGTACAGAGACTGTAGCCGGCTTGAACATTTTATCCTCGTCCTCCACTGAGAACTCCAGGGTAGAAGATGCTAGGAGCTCGGCGTGCACGATGACTTGACTCAGAGGGACTGATTCTTCTGTCGTATCTGACTGTGATCGAAGTTTCACACCCCATTGGTTGATCAACGCTGAATAGAACCCCAGCAACTCTGTTCTGGAACGAAGACTCTCATCCAACACAGCTGATTCCAATGGTGACAACAATTCTCTCCGAAGAGACTCGAAAGATTCGACTGGAATGTACTGGAGAAGTCGGAAGACATGGTCACGATTATCCTTGCCATTCCATATTTGCAGATAATACTTCAAAAAAGAACGTATCGAGGGTGGGAGGTCCTGATCTTTTGTCAGTGCGTGGGTTGACAGTGATCTGTTCGGAGGACTCACCTTGGTATAGGATGCATATCCCACGACAAAATCCAACACATATGATAATGTCTCAGGCTCATCATCTTCGTCCTCACGTAGTGTCTCCAACTTATCCTCTAGGAAACTTCTCAGCCATTCATTTAGACGATGATGTGCAAGTTCGGATTGAACCAGATGAAGATACTTCTGGGCCATTGCATCGCCCAAAGTTGAGATAATCTGATTTGGTAACTCGATCTTGTCAAGCTTGTCGACAAAATGGCTAATGTCACGAAGCTCCTCTAGGGATGTGTGCTTATGAGATACCCGTGAGGTTTGTAGAGCTGGAATGACAACTTCAATCCTGCTTCTTTTCACAGTCCCTCGATGAACAACTTGGAAGCTGGATCCCTGGCCGGTCTGTACTCTTTCCATATTCTGATCTTGAAGCACCTTCACATGGCTTGACCACTCGGGATCTGGATGTTTGAAGAAGAGAGCATTCCTTCTCGATCCCCCAAACTCACCTAGAATGATCTCAGGGTAATAATTTTTGAAAATCCTCAGAAGGCTGATAAGCTCTCTGTCTTCACCGCCAGCAGTTTGTACCAGCTCCATCAGGGCTTGAATGCGGAATGGCTTGACGTGTTTTCGTCTTGTTATAAGCGAGAGAAGGTGGCACAGTGGTTTTCGCAGACTAATCATGTCCAAATGATTGAAAAGAACAGCATACAGTTTGGTAAGATGTGTCCTTTCTTCGAAAATATCATATGCAAGTATCAACCAGCGCAATAGCAGAGCCTGCGTGGCGGGGCTCGGTTTGTTCTTGCTAGGCCCAAGGCAGCACACCACTTGAGTGACATTCTTGGAAGCGATTCTCTCTTGAGGGTACAGGTTTTTGATCAGTGTTGTAACTGTACCCTGATCCAGGTTATTTTTCGTGGTCAGAATCTTCAGGAGACGGGCCAGCACGGATTGTGGAATGCCGCTCTCGTACGCGTTTGAGGCGATTGTTTTGGCTAGTAGACTGGCATCTGTGTATCTCTGCTTAAGCGGGACAAATGCAACTGCCAAATCTCATTAGTAAAAATTCTGCCATCTCAGGAGAGCTCGTTGGCCATACCGGCTTCCAAGTGCTCGACCGCATCAAGCAGGCCACTTGGTTGGTTGCTACCTGAAGAATTGTTAGCATGGTTCAATTGGAAGAATATGAACACAACTTACCCGTATCAATATCCATCTATACAAATGTTGCTGCAAGTTTTCCCACAATTGGTGTAGAATGTAGTCTGCTTCGAGATGGTGGTATTGGCGCGTAGTTGCTCAATGCCGCGTTTCCTCCAATTGCGCGTTTCGAAAATGCAACGAGGAAGTTTTGTCGGATGAAATTCCTTGCAATAATATTACATAAAACTAATGAAAGTAAAGGAATGAAAGTTTTTGGTGCAGATCCAACGACAATTGCATAGAAGCACGAGTGGGCGCGAAGATGGCAAAAAGGCCTTAAACCCAATCGGGTAACCATCAACAACGACCTCTTTATCTATGGATCTGGCTATCCCGATACTACTAGTATGTAGCATATTACAAAGTCATCTCGTGGATAAAAAGTTCAGAACTCTAAAGTTGTTTTCTTAAGGTATCCTAATTAAAATGATCAGAATTAAACATTGCTTACTACGACATCGTAATTATGATCCAACGCTCGCCAACATCATGCCAAAAGTAGCGAAATCAAGTGATTCACTACGTATGCAAAGGAGTTGCTCCTGAGCAGGTCCATCGGCTCATTGGCTGACAAGACCTGCATCTAAACTGTCCTTCATTTCCTCTTGCGGGTAGACTTGGAAGTAGCCTGGGAAGAGGATTGAGTAGCCACATCCTCCTTCTTGTTGCCTTCAATGGCAGGAGTAGGCTCCTTCTTCTCCTCCTCCTCGTCACTATCACCACCCTGGCCGAACTCGTTGACACGCTTGTAGTCAACCTTGTACTTCCAGCCCTGGTAGAGCCAGACGAAGAAGATAACGTCGTCCCGAAGGGTTGCCAGGCGGTGGAGCCAGGGCATCTTAACAGTGAAGGCGAAGAGATCATCGATGAAGGTGTTCAGGAACTTGTAGGTCAAGGCCTTGCCGGGCATGTGGGCAACCGACTTCAACCTGTAGTTGATGTAGAGACTAGGGACCATCATGAGGAAGCCGTAGGCGTAGACACTTCCTACCAGGGTCTGGATGACGTAGGAGTACCACGATTTGTGGGTGTTGTAGACCAGACTGTACGCGGCGTATGCGAGCAGAAGGGGAACAGCCAAGATGTACAAGTAGCGGAAGGCGATTTCGTCGTACTCCTTTGTCTTTTCCTCGGTCTCGCTAAGCTTGTGCTTATCTTCGAAGACAATCACATAGGGCAAGAATGATAACCAAGAGCCAGCCGGCGGCGGGCGCAAGCGAACGTCGACGGTCTTGGTGATCTTCCAGAATTCCAGAAGGATACCAAATCCTTGACTACCCAGAATCATCCAAGAGGTGTTCTCGCTGTTGTCCATGAGGTAGAGGAAGATAACAGCCTGCATGAAGACGTTCGCCAGGATTGTCCGAACTGAAGTGCCAACAACGTCCTTCTTCTTACGCCAGTGAGCCTAGAAAGTGAGAGTGTTAGCAATGATGGATATCACACCTTTAATGGTGAGAGATCCACTTACAATATCGTTCTTGAAGGCTAAAGTCTCAAACAACATATGCAAAACAGTGACTACGCCTGTGGTGCAGAGGAGCCAAATGTTCGTATCCAAAAGAATCTCCTTCACCATCTCCCACTCGGTTCCATCTCCACCACCGGGGACAGGCTGGCCATAGGCAGCCTGGCGAGAACTTTGCTTGGAGCCTTCATCAACACTGCTGATGATGTTAAACTTCCAGTTCGCCATGTTGTTGAGGGTGATATGCAACGGCAGAGTTTCCACAGTGGAGTTCAACTCAGTCATGTGGCTCTTCAGTTGCCAGAAAGTGTTGAAGAAAGCGATCGGGTAGTACCATCCATTCTTTCCAGTAGCGTCGCGAGCACCAGTCCGCTCCAGCTGCAGATACTGTCGAGCTGCAGGGTTCATCTGGGCCATCTTCACAATTCCAGAGTCTGGAATCATGGACAGGGTGAAGTTGGGGTGGTAGTATGACATAGTTGAAACATCCGGGGTGTTATCTTCCTCCTGGTCATGTTCATCCTCGGGCCCCGATAGGAGATTCTTCAGCTTCTTGACCTTCTTCTTAGGAAGGTACTGATTCAGGGGTCGGAGGAAGTGGACTGCATCAGCGGTGTTGTAGTCCTTCGCGGTGGGGTCTAACGGGTGTCCGGTGCGAGCCAAAAAGAAGTGAGCCCAGAGAGTTCCATTCTGTTGAACTTGCTTTGGGACCTTGATGGTGGTGTCGATTTCACGAGTGTCACTGTAGTTTCCAAGGGTGAAGTTCTTCTCGTCCAGCACAAGAATACTATCCGGTGACTTGAAGTTAGGCACAATGATAGATGGGGTTACATAAATGCTGAGATCGATAGAGCTGTTGGAGGGCCAAATCGGGGCGATGATTTCAGGGAGAGCACTGTGCTGAGCGATTTCGCTAGGATCGGGGCGATCGGCAAAGGCGGGGATGCCTCCAGAATTCACGCTGGTGGAGTCTGTCTTGTCCTTATTTCCCATGTACTGGTTGATGGCAAATTGGGCCAACAAGAAGATTCCAAGACCCTGAAGGGCACCCTTGAACCCTGACTAAAGGAGGTCAGCAAATTCAACACGACAACACTGGATCAGCGACACATACACCGGGGTCCTGTTCTCTGCGTGGCCTCTGTTCCGACATGATTGATGAGGGAAAAAAAGAGAAGAGGCCAGAAGGGCAGCTAACGTGGGCGACTAACACGCGATTAGATTGAGGCCCGGGAACTGGCCGGTCTTGGCATTTGTCTTCCGACCCTCCGAGCATCTTCCATTCTTATACTTGTTAGCTATTAAGTAGCTTTAAAATTTCAATCGCGTGATGGATAGCGTGTTCGGCCATTGGCGTTGACCCTCATGGACAATAACCCCCCTTTTGATGCCCGCGTGCAATTCCCGTCGCATACGGAGCCTCGTGTATGGCTGATCACCGCGGGGGATTCGCCTATTGGCCTCTCAGTGGCGCGCCAGGTCCTTGCGCATGGAGATTATGCATTTCTTGGGCTTGCACATTCAGCTTTGGAACGCGATGAACGTCGCCGTGTTGAGTTTGATGCTTTTCTCGGTGAGGTGAAGCAGCATGATGGCTGGGCACAGCGCATGAAGACAGTTCCGCTAGATATCCGGTGCGCTACATCAAGGAAGCGAAGTTAGTTATGGACTCTGGTCTAAATGACTGACAATGTCTGACACAGAATGATGGGAGAGTGCCAGGCAGTCGTTGCAGATGCAGTCGCAACATTTGGAAGAGTAGACATACTTCTATGCTGTACAAGTCAAGGTGACCCTCCACTCTCGAAAGTACCCTTGAACGATATACTGACCTGCTTCTAAGCCCTTATTGGGACAGTTGAAGAATTTTCCGCTTCAATTCAAACCATGAATCTCGTACGCGATCAATTCGAGGTTAACTATTTTGGCCCCCTCAATATCATCAAAGCCACGCTCCCCCATATGAGGAAAGAGCGAGCAGGGCATATAATGATAATCTCAGGAATCAGTAAGTAATCTAACTCGCCCAGTATTTGCATATTTGTCTAATGATATATAGCGGCGCATATCGGTACACCTGGACTAGGAATGTACTGCGCGGCAGGTTGGGCCCTTGAAGGATTTTGTGATGTCAGTCTCTCTATGGGTATTTGACTAAATTATCCGCATTGCAAAGACTAACCAGCTATACAGAGTCTGGCTTACGAAATTGCGCCATTCAACGTCAAGCTCACTATCTTCCAATGCAGCATTGAAATTGGCATCCTCACCAACTTAGTAACCAGTGTCCCTCCAATCTTCCCTGCTTACTCACCTGCCAACAACCAAGCGCCTCTCTTTCGTGGGATCCTGAACCACCTTGTCCCCCAACTCCCCGACGCTCCTGTCTCATCTGATAGTCCAGTCACACTTAGTCGAGTAAACGACGAAAACGCCCGAGTCAGCTCCATTGAAAATGGTCCCTTCTCCGCTCCAGAGGTTGTTTCAATGCATCCACCATTAAGCTCTGCACATCTTGAAGTTTTGGTCGCTGAGACAGTTTATGCCATTACATCAATTGGTGGCCATGAAAACCCCCCTTCTCGACATATAGTTGGGCAAGAAGGTGTTGCGAGTGTCAAGGAGAAGCTCAAGACGGTTAGTGAAGAGCTCGAAGACTTTATACAGGCCAGCTTTGCTGTTGATGTTGTTGCGGGCTCGGATCCTCTGCCCGATATACCTGGAGCGAACGACGGGCCTTAGTGGATCGCGCCTACAATTATATTTCTCTCGTTTTGATGGTTATGCAATTTTCATCCCTTACTACCAATTTATATACTCTCGAAATCAAGAGTCTGCTCCGTTTGATAATGCTCCCCAAGAGGTATTTCCTAAACGGGGTAAGTTAGGCCCTGATCAGGTAGAATTCAAGAGATCCTCTACCCTCCGTCACACATTTCGGAAAAATATTACAGAGTATATATTCTGCAAATACAGCTATCCTAATTTCGCAATTCCTCGCTTCATGCCCGGGGAAGTTCGCGATTTGTCCTCATCTCCATTTCACGTGGTAATCCTCATTTATGACCTGGGGTTAACCCATACGCCCCAGAACTTTGTGCGAAGAAATTGAGGTCTCACCCGGGTGCCTAAATTATGCAACCTCGTCACAAATCCGAGACCTCTTTTCGGCTATAGACATAGGTACATCCGGATCAGCCACCTCATTCTGTTTGAGTTTGGGGGCCAGCCTGGTTGAGCCTCATCCCTGCATACAATACGAAAGGCCAGGCCAAATATAGGCACAATGAACGCATATCAATACGAGATCGGGATACAAACAACAAGAGAGCGGGGTAGAATACGAGCTTCTCTATACAACTATAAGCACCAAAGGAAAAGGCGCAAGGGAATTTTATGGCTTAAAACTGAATAGTATAAGACTGAGCTCAATTCCTCTGGACTCATATCAAAACCAAATATACTACGGAATACTTCCTACGTCTTCGTTAAGAACTGAAATCCCACAGATTCGGTCTTTATCTCAAAAGCAATCCTCAGCCCCTCGCTCTCACCATGTACGCTTGGCAGACTATCCTAGCAATAGCTCTAGGCTGCCAACTGGCAAGTGCCAACGAGTGGAGGATACAAGCAGCCCCAGTTATCACCGGAGCTCTCATTCCTCGACAGGAGCAAACATGCCCCGAAGCAACAGAAACAATGTGCTCTAATGGAACCGGGGGATGCTATCCATATGGTTCGGCTTGTACGTTTATCTCCGGGGAACCTAGATGCGCAGGTGGCTGCGATGGCGTCGGTCCTACTTGTTTCGATGGTGGCTGCTGTGATGCTGGATATAACTGCCCTGCAGCCGGTGGCAGCTTTTGTCACAAAGCAACCAACTTCCTTCCTGAGCCTACTGCAACTCTCTCGATCACTTCTTCCTTTGTTTCCGATCCAATTGAGACTACGGAAGCTCGCACTACTGAAAGTTCTTCGGAGCCTACAAGTACTCCTGACTCTACAAGTACCTCTGGGCCTCCCAGCACGTCGCAGCCCTCGAGAACGTCGCAGCCTCCTAGCACATCGGAGCCGACCACTACGACCATATCAAGCACCAGCAGTGCGTCTCCTTCATCAAGCTTGGGAGGAGATACATCAGATACTGCATCTAAATCTCCTGAACCATCTGAGTCATCCACAGACAATGACACTCCCGGTGCCGTAACACCACAAACTGTCCCCGACATGGCCGGGTCGTTGTCGGTGAGTTCGGGTTCCTGGCTGGCGTTGGCTGTTATCATGCTTTTCATTTTGTAAAGCATCATGTTACGAATTATGTACAGCGAGGATATAATCTATAATTACGTATGGTTTTGTTGAAATGGCTAGAAAGAGTGAGAGACTAGTGATTATACGTAAGTTCTTCTAGTTCAGAACTTTTTTCAGGGCTGATCAGAATGCATTCCTTTAAATCCAGGACATCTATTTCTTACTATATTGGTAGTGATATTACCTGACTTTGAAATTTTTTGTTCATTGTAGCGAGCTACCTCAAGCTGTGTTGGACTATTTTCCATTCGGGTCTTCACATGATATCAAGGGTAGATTTTTTTTTTCAGGAGGATTCGATGGGGTTACTTTCCCGCAGGGCGCAACATTGGAGTTACAGTGAGTCGTAGGAGCTAGTGTACGCGAAAAATTAAATGGTCTGGGGTATCGGTATTTTCATGCTAGGAGTGGAAGACAGCTACTCCTCGAGTGGTCCATGCTGGAGGAACCAAGCCTCGCGCACGTCAAAGAGGCTGCCCATGTCCTGGTTGTTTCGGTAGCATCGGATTTCCTTCCAGGCATTCGCTGTACGGCTATTCGGCATGCGGCCATCGATTTGTAGAATTTTATGAACGAGTGCTTGTGGCGACGAGAGATTGGGAACAATGATCTCGTCCGGCTCACTGGTAGTAATTTGAGACGAAGTGAGGACTTGGACTTTCTGTTGCTCAGTAGTTGAGGATTTATTGACTTCTTCCTTCTCAGCTTCGTCGAGTGTCTCAGCGGGTGCCTCAGCGCTGTCCATAGGAATATCGGACTGAGCCGTGGATAATTCCGCTTTATCATTTTTTCCGTTGGTATTTGCAACGGGTGATTCCTCTACTGGCGTAGGTAACTCTAGCGCAGGGGACTCGGGGGGCTTGTGTGTGGAAGAAACTGCCGACAAAGTGGACTCCGGCTGCGGTTGAGGGGGGCTTGGCTGGGAGGATTCTGTTGCAGCTTTGCCGTTTTCTTTAATTTTCGAATTCAAGATGGACATGAAAGAAAGAGGAGCGGTTTGGTTCTGTTCATCACGCTGGGACTCGTCTGTTTCCCGAGATATCTCCGGCTCTTTGGGGGTTTCTGGTTTAGGCTGCTTTGGCGGGTTTTTAGGTGGTCGTCCTCGTTTGCGCTTCACTGGGGGTTGAGGCTCGGGCTCCGGGATTGTACGCTTGGGATTTTGACTTCGCATACCACCGGGACTACAAATAACAACGCTGAATGAGGTTTCTTGTTGGCTCTCTTCATCGTTTGGAAGTGCAATGACTGGCTGTGTAGGGGTGTCGGTGTCGATATTCATCTCGTCAGTAGAAGATCCAGCGACCCCATATGACGCCCCGCTATCCTTAGGCTTCATTTTCTCCTCACCGGAAGAGGTAGGGGTGCCTTGTTGCGCTTGGTCGGTCTTAGTATTCATATCCCCGGTAGAAGCTGCAGGGAACCCGTGTGATGCTTGGCCATTGTCAAGCTGTGTTTCATCGTTATTGGAAGATGCAGAATTATCATGTGGCGGTTGATCGGTGGCAGATTTCATCTCTTCACCATTGGAGGTTGCATTAATGGCACGTAATTCTGGACCCTCGGATTTCACTTGTTTATTATCGCAAGGTGATGGCACTGGATGTGACTCTGTGTCGAGGTCGACTTTCACGTCTTTTTCCACCTTCTCTGGTGTCAAACATGTCTCTGCTTTGTCGAAATTGCTGCGAAGGAAGACTCGTTCACCAGGTGGAATTGCAAAAGTCAATTTCGCCCCATCACGGCCATGGACCTATAGCAGTCAGCAAATGGAGAAGCTATACACAAAGTGCATAGATCTATACATACCCTAACTTCTTTTTCAATGACAGTTTTGCCCGGGCCCCTGCCGTAAACATAGTAGAACTTCCAGATATCGCCCAGCTGGATAACACCTTCATTGATTAGAGTTCCCAGCTTCACACGCGCACTTTCTCCCGCAGGCGCCCTCCAGATGGCTCTCTGCTTCTGTCCCCAGAACTGTTCATACTCGCGCTCTTTAAAGTCATCGAAGTCGCCATTCTGACGCTGCTGCCTGGCTTCCTGCGCCTGGTGCAGCCATTCCGGGTCGTAGCGGCCGTTTTGGAGGTCGAGCTGGAACTGTCGAACGCCGTCGCGCCAGTTGTTGGAATAGCGGATAAAAGAGTCGGGAATGGGTGGTATCTTTGCGTCTGGGTCACCCGATGCATCTTGTGCTTGCGGGTGAACATCTGGGGGGAGTAGATCAAGGATTTCGCGCTTTTCGCTTTCCTCAAGACAATTCCATGCTTCGGGTTGTGCCAGTAATTTCTAGATGTTTTGAGCTGATTGTTAGCTTGTACAATCTAGCATCCCATTTGTGAAGAATCGGTTCATACCACTAGATCGAGGTCAATCAGGAGGGACTTGTCGCTCGTCAATAGATGCTCCTCGCTCCATTTGCCTCTAGCGGCAGGCCTTCTTGCGGTTCTAGCTCGTGAACCCGCTTCGGATTTGGGGGTCGACATGACGAGACCCGACTGTTCTACTACATCGGCAGAACTAGCAGCAGCACGACTAGAGCATTATCATAAGACGTTAGTAAGAAGCTTGGAAGGAGGAGAAGTAATGCGGAGCTTACCCCAAACGTGATTCTGCCACACGGGGTCTCGCTACCGCCTTCGTGGCTCTCTTCCTTGGAGCCATTCTCACGGCAAAACAAAGGAGAGAGCCCTATCCTTCAGAACAAGAAAGAAACCTTTTCAGGATGGTCAGGTCAACGCAGATTGCAAGGCTCGATGGTGAGGACTCTCTGGGAAGTTGAGAGGGTGTGGAGTGCTGATGTTGAAGTCAAATAGGCCTTATGCTGGCAGCTTCCGTCGACGACGAGCAGGTATGTGACAAAGATTATTCAAGCTGGTCGTGAGCTTATGATATCTGTAGGCTGAATCGGAGCTCTCTGAGATTAAGGGTCAGGCTAAAATGATCTTTCGGCGCTTGAATCGCAATGCCGCACCCCAAGCCAGTATTGAGTCTGGCCAATACAATCTACAGTAAGTCCCACCCACCAGTAAACAAACATTATCAATGGGCATTTTCTTAATTGGTGCGCAGCTACACAATCCAGGATGATATCTGCTTCCTATGCATTTGCGACAAATCCTACCCCCGCAAACTTGCCTTCACCTATCTTGCTGATCTGGCCTCCGAATTCACGACTACCTATTCCTCCTCACAATACCTTTCACCCGCCCTCCGTCCGTATGCTTTTGTCGAGTTCGATACCTTTATCCAGCGCACAAAGAAACTGTACCAAGACAGTCGCGCATCCCAGAACCTCGACAAGCTGAACGATGAGCTCCGTGATGTCACCAAGGTGATGACGAAGAACATCGAGGACCTCTTGTATCGCGGCGACAGCTTGGAGCGGATGGGCGAACTGTCAGGGCGACTGCGCGAGGACAGCAAGAAGTACAGAAAGGCAGCTGTACGCATCAACTGGGAATTGTTGCTAAAGCAGGTGGGTCTATATTTTGCGACAGAGTGCCCCTGACCGATTGGCTAACCATCTAACAGTACGGACCTTTCGCTGGCGTCGGGCTTGTCATTTGCATCCTTCTTTTCTGGCGATTCTTCTGATTTCTTGCTCTCCGTGGCCGTGCTCATGGGCCTCGCTGTATGAATGTACGCATAGTTAATACCTCGGTGATTGCGGGTTACAATCCGCCGATTCTAGAATGCGGATAATTCCGTGAACACATGTGTCGTATTTGATGATGTCTAAATTTCATCCTCTTCTTCGTCGAAATCGTCTTCTTCTCCCATGTCGTAAAGAATCCGGCCTCCTTCGCCTGGGCCATCGCCATGCTGTGCGTCGAAGTACGGCAGCACAACACCTTCTCTTTCACGCCTCTGCCTATCGGTAAGGCCCAGCTCAAAGGTCGATGTTGGTTCCTCGTCACCGCCACTTGGCTCTCGCTCCATGGGAGGATTGTACAAAACATTGTCGTCTAGCAACGTCACAACCTCTTTCAGATGTTGTGGCGAATACTGTGAAGCAGGCGGGAGAAGGTACCATTCCAGTACACCACGGCCACTCTTTCGCCTGTGCTCCAGTTCAATGACAATTCCCTCGGCTCTTCCAGTACCGGCCAATCTGTCCAAACGGCCAAGGAGAACGCCCTCTTGCTCTTCCTCAAGCCCGAAGACTGGAGGGGCCAGACTGCGGTCGCGAGCAGCCTTCTGTGCTAGAACGTGCGAGAAGGAATGGAGTGTGATGATGCTTGTAGCGAGATATGTCAATACAGAAATAGGTGATGGCAAGTAGGGATTTTGCGGTGGAATTTCGGGGACATCCTGATGGTACGTCACAACGAGTGACGCATCAACCTTGGCCGATGGCGATGTAGGAGTAACAAACGAACCAAGGAAGGAGGCCAGGTGAAACCCGGGGTCAACTTTCTTTGAGTTCAGAAGAGGGTTAATTGAATCGATCAGAATAAGACGCCCTAAATAGGCAGAGTAAGTATGAGCCCACTAGCGGGGTAAGTACATATTGCTTACTGCGTGAGGGGTTGGAAGCTGCCACAGGCTGATAAACCGCGCTCACTTCTTTAACTATATCGGCGGAGGTCTTGCGACGTGTTGATACAAAAGCATCGACTCCCTCGGGTTGCTTCACGGTTTCAAAAGCGATAAGCGTGACATGAACTTTGGACAGCTATCAGAATAGTTAGCATAGCCATCCATTCCCGTGCCTAGAGACACAAGTGCGGCTTATAATAACATTATAGGTAAATATACCTTTGCACGTCTAATGTACTCTTTCAAGAGTGGCGTAGCCGGTTGCTCCAAAGAATCCAAGACAAGTGTGAGGGGCGATGCAGTGTCACGCAAGCTCAAGAGTTTCGAAATCAAAAGCAAATTGTGCGTTCTCCTGTGTGAAAGGTTGATAGGTGCCATCTTTTTTGATATTAGATACTGTTCTATGCCAATCGCTGTCTGGAGACGTAGGTTGATGACCACACAGGAAGTGGGGTTGCGCTGTGAAAATTTTACGGTGGAATTTAAAGTTGAGGCTCGACGGGCCGGCCCGCGGGTTGCAGCTCTTCATTCTTCGCGAAGGTCCCTTTAGGGCTGTCTTTAGAGGCATTTCCAGGTTATGAGGCCAGTATTCTGCATATGAATGTATCATCAATTCATTGTATTAAGTCTTTCGTGTATTTTTTTCTCTGGGGTTAGTACATACGTTGTTACCCGGAAGCTTCGTTGGTCGAAAAGCCCCCAATGAAAAGTGAAAAAGATGAAAAATTAAGTTGACGAGTTTCCAAGATGGTATATCAACAGTTCAGATTTCTAATATCAATAGGCGTGTGTAAGTGCTTAAAATCTGCATAAATAACTTCAAGCTCCAATCTTCAGAGTCAGCTTTAAACCTTAGAGAAACAACTTTTATGCAGATCCACAAGAGACATTCCCTCACCCGAAGCTACAGATTATTGTGCAACTGGCGAACATTGGATTAAGCCCAGACCAACCTACTTATGAGGGAGGCTCTTAGCATATTAAAGGACAGCTGGTAAGAGCTTCGCCCCCTTCAGTTAATTATAGATGCTAATCTTGAACAGAACGAACGTATCTGCGCTAACACAATCTACACTCTGATAGCCGAACTGACTCAAATTTATGGTGTGGTCTTACTAGTCTAGTTATGTATGTAAGTGTTACAAGAATAGTCGGCCACATAAACGGCCTCATGATGTGTTTCCGGTAGTATTTACAGTAGTCTTCTCAGATATAATTCTAAAAAGGTCTGATGAACTACAAGCTGTGGATTGCTGGGAAAAAGAACCGACATCAGGAATATTGTCGCCAGCGGTAAGTGGTGCTATGCATTATATAGTATTCTAGAAAACTGATATTGCACTCAATATTCATATAAACGTATCGCTGATTTGTACTGTGTGGGAACATCTCAAATATAGACACGTCCTTCGAAGGGCTTCAAGGTTTCCAGTGACGAATCGGAGTAGTTGCCCACAAGCAATTTCATGCCTGTGGTTTTCTCAGCTTGTGTAAATGGCTGAGACTTATCAGTGAAGTTAAGAACGACCAATGCTCGTTTATCATCTCTCGACTTCACAAAACAAAAAGTCTCTTGATTCTCGTAGTCAAGCACTTCAAATGCACCGTGGATGAACAACTCCCGGTATTCCTTTCTCAGGCGTAGAACATCCTTCCAAAAAGATAGCACACTTGATGTGTCATTCTGCTGCTTCTTTACATTGATCTCACCATAAAGATCGTGAGCTCGCATCCACGGTTTCCCAGTAGTGAAACCAGCATGTTCCGAGTCATCCCACTGCATTGGCAGCCTGGAATGATCGCGAGCTAGAATTCGGAGACCATCCATGATGCGCTCTTTGCGAGTAGGGTCGGCCCCACTCTCACTGCGCTGCTCTGCTTCTCGGTAATACCCCAATCCTTCAATGTCCTTGTATTCTTCAATGGGCCACTCGCGTGGTGCATTGATCATGCCAATCTCCTGTCCCTGATAGATGAACAGAGTCCCAGTCATGGTCACCATCATCAGAGCCAGCATTTTGGCAGAGATCTCCCGGAATTCAGGTGTGTCCGATCCAAACCGAGAGACAGACCGTCCATTGTCATGATTCTCACAGAAAGCGGTAGTCCAGCCATCTGTGCCCTCAATGAAAGACTGCCACTTCTCCACAATGGATTTCATCTTTGTCAACTTCCATGGCGTAAAAATGTACTTCTCCTCCAGGGTAGGCCCCATGCCAATATGGCCGATGTCCAAGTGGAAGACCATGCTCAGCTCCTTAGCTGACGCTCCCACATATTCAAGGACATTCTTGGGATTGGGTGTATTGGCCAGTTCGCCCACAGTCATGACATCCCCGTACGGGGCAAGTGACTCGTCATACATTTCGCGGAGGAACTCGTGGATTCGGGGGCCGTTGCACCACATTCCAATGGCGGGTTGGATGTAGCTTTTCGGATCTGTAATGGGGGCATCTGGGAAGTCTGTGTGTTTGCTGTATTTGTTCACTGTGTCCACCCGGAAACCATCGACACCTTTGTCTAGCCAGAATCGCACTGCGCTGTTGTAGATGGCCTCACGTGTGGCTTTGTTATCCCAGTTGAGATCGGGTTGCTCTTTGGCATAGAGGTGTAGGTAGTATTCTTCCGTCTTCTCATCCCAGGTCCCTATATAAAAGCTTCGTTAGTTCAAAGACATTCAATGGTTCGAAACGGCTAAACGAACATGTGCTTCCTGCAAAATAACCCCGATAATTACTTGGGGGCATCCGATTGCCTGCCTCATCATATCGAGGAGGGCGCCAGAAGTACCAATCGCGTTTGTCATTGTCCTTGCTACTCCGGCTTTCCTGGAACCAAGCATGCTGATCGCTCGAGTGGTTGACGACCAGGTCTAGAATCAATTTCATGCCTCGCGAGTGACAAGCTTCCACAAGATTCTCCACGTCTTGTACGGTTCCATAAGCAGGGAGCACATTTTCATAGTCGGAGATGTCATAGCCCATATCGTGCATGGGTGAGTCGTACATTGGCGATAGCCACACGACGTCAACCCCTATCGACTGGAGGTAATCGACCTTTTTGACAACACCCGGGATATCGCCCCAGCCATCACCATTTGTGTCATAGAAGGAAGCTGGGTATACCTTTAAGTCGAGCACAGGTCAATTTCTTGTCATATGGAATGCCTAAATGTTGTGGCAACTAACCTGGTATACGGTAGCTTCTTTCCACCAGTTATTGGTTCCCGTAGGAACGGCTGTATCCCGTGTCGCGTGTGGTGACATGGTGGCTTGACACTTGCATTTTCCATCCGGACATCCCTCTTATAGCTTTTAATCATAACTCGGCCTCAACTCGGACGTTGACTAACGCGGGGATACCCTGCATGCCCGGAAAGCCTCCGCTAGGATATTGCAAATCCGACTAACGACCGACTTGCCGCCGATGGGTTCCTATCCGGCTCGGCCATTCGCCAGGGTTACCCCTCCCCACTCCAGCTTCCCCAGTTTTTTTCTAATTTTCGGAAGCAAGTGACATGCCATGTGCATTTTCCCCAGATCCGTTACGCGCATGGACTAAACCATGCATTTGTTAAAACTTTGGGTTCCTTTATATAAATCAAGCTCGCCCCGTGGTCTATAAGTGATAATGCTTGAAGTATCGGGACATTCTCAGCCCTCGATTCTAAGCTGGCTTTTACAAACAACCCATCATTCGTAACTTTCTGTTGTTTGACCTGCGATATCTACAGGGTTCACCAGCTTCAAAACAACAACACAGCTTTCCAATCATCTCGATGGCCGACGCATCTGGGAGGATGGACGGCAAAGTCTCCCCCGCCCTTGTAGAGGGCAGGCAAGCAGCCAGGAAGGAGCAGTCCATGACCCTCTGGCAGGCTTTGCGATTATACCCGAAAGCCGTTGGCTGGTCAGTCCTTCTTTCCTCTACTCTCATCATGGAAGGATATGACCTCGCATTGCTGAGCTCAATGTATGCATCACCTATATTCAACCAAAAGTTTGGAGAACAAACTGCCTCGGGGAAATGGGCAGTTCCAGCATCCTGGCAATCCGGCCTTTCCAATGGTGCACGTTGTGGTGAAGTCATTGGACTTCTGATCAATGGTTTAGTCTCTGAACGCCTGGGATATCGCAAGACCATGATCTGTGCCTTGGCCACCATAACAGCAGTTATTTTTCTGTTTTTCTTTGCAGTCAATGTTCAGATGTTGCTAGCCGCTGAGATTCTTGCCGGTATTCCCTGGGGTGTCTTCCAGACCTTGCCAGCCTCCTACGCCTCTGAAGTTTGTCCCGTAGTCCTGCGACCTTACCTGACGACTTTCATCAACATGTGCTGGGTATTCGGGCAGTTCGTGGCCGTCGGCGTTAACCGCGGCTCCATTTCTCGCGATGATGAATGGGGATGGCGCATTCCTTTCGGTGTGCAATGGGTGTGGCCAATCCCAATCATGATCGGCTGTCTTTTCGCGCCAGAGTCCCCTTGGTGGCATGTACGCCAGGGTAATCTGCAAGGAGCTCGACGAGCGTTGCTACGGTTGACATCATCAAATGACCCCAACTTTGACCCTGAAGAGACTATTGCTATGATTCAGCACACCAATGAGTTGGAGAAATCGCTCTCTAGTGGAACCACATATTGGGACTGCTTCAAGGGAACAAATCTTCGCCGAACTGAGGTGGTCTGTACTGTCTGGTTAGTGCAGACCCTGTGTGGGCAGAACTTGATGGGTTATTTCGCCTACTTCTGTGTTCAAGCTGGCCTGCCCACCGTTCAATCTTTCAATTTGTCCCTAGGACAATACGCTCTCGGCGTTTTGGGTACATTAGGATCGTGGTTCCTCATGTCCTACATGGGCCGACGAACTATTCATATCTCCGGTCTCGCCAGTCTTTTCGTCCTTCTGATGATCACAGGATCTCTATCTTTTGCCCCAGGAGACAACAACGCAGCTAAATGGGCGATCGGCGTGATGCTCATCATTTTCACATTCTGTTATGATATCAGCGTCGGCCCTGTCACATACTCCCTCGTCTCAGAACTATCCTCTACCCGCCTCAAAGCCAAGACTATAGTCCTCGCCCGGAGTCTATACAACATTAGCAACATTGTGGTCAACGTCTTGACCAACTACCAGCTCAACTCCACGGCTTGGAACTGGGGTGCTCGGTGTGCCTACTTCTGGGCTGGTACCTGTCTAGTCTCCCTAATCTGGGCATACTTCCGGCTCCCCGAGCCGAAGGGCCGTACATATGAGGAACTGGATTTGCTCTTTGAGCGCGGAGTTCCAGCAAGGAAATTCGCGACCACCGTCGTTGATCCGTATGAGGGAGAGGCGACAGAGGTCCATGAGGCCCATGCGGAGAAAGACTCATAGTTCAACGATTTATCTATCTCCTAGGATACATCCTACATGTAGTATATAGTCGTTGAATATACAATATCTCACAACGGTTTAAATTTGACAATCCCAAAAAAACAAGCGACATACTATTGATTGCACAGTTAGAAGTAATTTCCACTACAAATAACCTTGGAAATAGCCAAATTTGGTGGTCTGTGTGGCATATGTTCGGCCTGACAAACAAGGCCACAAAGTTCATTTCTTCACCCTGTGATCTGCACCCGGCTTCTGCCCGACTTCCCCCCGCAACCCCGGATTTTCGTACTCGTTCCTATCGGCATATTTAAACCTAGCTTTCCAAATGCCAGACCCACCGGTCAAGCAAGCATGTGATGCATGTCGTCGACGTAAAGTCAAATGCATTTTCCCAAAACCTTGTGAGCAGTGTCGAGCTGCTGGGCTGGTCTGCCGGACCTCTTCTCTACCACGAAAAAAGGGGCGACAGGGCCAAACAGCCAATATTCTCAATGAGCTCAGAGCAAAGGAAATTGATCAGGCGCTGGTGCAGCATGCAAATGTCTCTCCGCCATCAGCCGCACTCGGGCATGGAGATACCATACTATCACCCCAGTCACCGCTAACCTCGGGAAGATGTCAGTTCTCAAAAACCCCGGGTATTTTGAACCAGGAGCTTGTCGACGCTTGCTCGGGGTATTTTTTCTCACGGATGAGAGGAACGGTACCCATATTGCAACCTGGCAGCTTTCAGAGACAGGTGGCCCTTGTCGATACATGTCTCTCTGCTTATTGTTTCGTCACTGCTTTCTGCGCTTTTGTGGTCACTCAAACTGGATTTGCAGTGGAGCATGCATCCCTAGGATCCTCTCAGGTTTTCTGTACTGAAGACTACCGAAATTCACTGATTGAGGAAGCCACTGAAGCTCGAAAGCATATCGACCCATTCACAGATCCTGTACGACGAAGCATCATCATCGCTTTCCTTCTGTATGGTTGTCATATCGGACTAGGAAACCAACGGCATGCATATTACTTTCTCCGGGAATCCACGACACTTTATACAGCCAGCGCGCTTGAAAGTCAGGCATCATCTGCTCAGGTGGATGACGATGACCCTTCCTTGGCAGGCAAATTGTTTTGGCTCCTGGTGGTGTCCGAGAGGTAGTTCCTCAAGCTTTATCGTTGGTTCTTTACTAATACACGGACAGAGCTCATGCGATCCGTCGGCATAGACCAATCACCCTCCAGGTCACCCCTGCAAGCCCTCAATTGGAAGATGATCCACTTCCAAATGCATCAGCTATTGGATTTCGGTGTCTGGTCAACCTCTACCTCCCATTTGATGAGGCCTTTTTAGCTCAGTGGAATGGAACGAGTGCAACATGCTCTATCGAGTCGTTAGTTCGTCTCGAAGAGCGCATCCGAAGTGCAGTCCCGGCGGACCTCGGTCTACCTGATATACTCATGGCCGACTTGCGTGTGTCGCAGCAATGGCTGCGTATTATGATATGGCAGTTATCTACTACTGCAGGGTTTCTTTCAACAAAGCCTACTCATGAATGCATGGATTTTCGCTACCCCCTCCTAATTGCTCAAGATCTCTGCTTCGCAACATGGAAATTATCCAAGCAGGGTATGGAAACCCATGGAATCGGTCTTGTATGATTCGCCCTTTTAAGCATATCAATCATCTTCTAACAGATTGTAGATCGAAAAAATATTTGAGGTGGCGTGTACCTTGATCGATGTTATGACATGCCTCTCGGCGGCTGGGCTCCGCTCTTCGGGCTTCAAGCTTGGTCCGCAAGATTATCTCAAGCATTTCTTCTCTCTCATTCACGATCTTCCTGGGGGACGCCGAAGATTTCTTCCACTGCTACTTACCAAAATAGGGCAAACTCTGCCTTCCATGGTAGATCCTATCACCATTCATCTTAACCTCCAACCCGGCCCCCTTGTTCCGAGCTCTACCAGCGAGGAATCATCAGTATGCGCCATTTCCGAAAACGATAACTCAACTGAACAGCCTTCCACTGAATTGATTTCTGATTCTATGTCTGAGAATTGGATGAATGGTAACTTCAACTATGCGGAGATGAGCCGCATCGGTGCTAAAACGCCAGAGATTGATGAGGCGTTTCTCCAATACTCCAGTTACTTTCCCTGAGATCGGAGAAATGCACTGCACCCATCAATATTATCCTTGGCAATAAAGCCATGTATGGTAAAAAGTATTGAAACAAGATCGCCACTTTTCCATCATTCTTCCGAGCTGCCTATCAAGAGTTGGACCTGCTGAACACAGCAGATTTGTCCACATGTTGCTGATGAGCCTCATCTTGGGTGGCATATCCAATGCCCACCATATATCTGGCCCCGATTTGCAACGCAGCAACTGTTTCTTCTTAGTCAAAACAGCAATTCCGTGCGACAAAGTCCTGGTGAACCATGGACTCCCAGGTGTGCTTCTCCAACCATCCCAGAACTGTTATCATTGGGTAGATGGTGAAATTTGCCTTATTCAACATCTGTCTTCAACAATTTCATCCATTCTTGAGGGAGCATTCTTCGAATTCGCATCTGCATCCGCCTGCTTGTATAGTCGGATAATGTGGAAACTGCAACTCCGTCCACACAGTTGATTGCTTCTGATGAGTATTGCTCCGGTTGAAAGAATACATCAGTTATTATACTGGAAACTTGATCCACGCCTGCCACAGTGAGATACTGGAGGTCCTGGCTAACAGATTTCGATCTAACAATACTGGGCGTTGATGCTTCTGAGAGCCTCTCGGTAATTCCAACATAGCTTTCCGGCCCCATTAGCATATACCCTCCGGCAACATACATAAGTGGGCAAGGGAACTCCGTATTGGGAAGCCTAGGGAAAATATTGGTGGCATTGTGGTCTTCATAGCTATCCATTCAGTTGCCCGGGCTCCGTTTTGGATAATCTACCGATGCGTTTGCCGTCGTCCGTGGAAAACAGATGGTCCCATTTGGACTATTCCAGTCCAAGCTAGGGTTGGCTTAAATCTCCAGTCGAGACTTCGATGCGGTCTTGATACCCAGGCTGCCTACGCCTTCCGTCGGCTTGCTCTTTATCCTTTGCCCGGGTAAGGCCGTTGACATGCTTGGTCTTCGAATGTTCCAAATAGAGACCATAATACCTAACTGCCGTGAAATCCGGTCATTGAAATCAGAAATACAGTTTCTTGTCGACTTTGAATAAAATTGAGCATTGGCTTTACTTTATAAGATCGGGGTCAGAATTCTGGCTTGTCTATGTAGTTACTTGGCTAGATTAGGTGTACCAAGAGAAGTCTCGCATCAACACAAGCATATATCATGTAGTCACAGTGTAGATGAGGTTACAAGAGGTTACTGGATATCTTTGACCTATACGCCTTGGTCTTCAGTAGTGCATCCCAATTCTCTAGAAATAGCAGAAGGCTATACTTCATTCACTACAAAAATGGGACGGATCTGGGAAGAGAAGAAATGTGAGGGACTATGGGTGTATATATATGAGACGTCCTGCACAGGTGCATACATAGTACCCATACGCGACCGTCCGCACTTTGAAGGGTTTATCCAGACGGTTTACCCTCAGTGCCACGCGCCCCTCCCCTTCATCGCGCGCAAAGCTATATAGTTTTCCACCGTGCCCTTTGCCCTTAAGCCAACGCTTGACATCCCGGTCCTTCATCCGATCCACCTTCTCCAGAATCGCCGCCGTGTCCTCCGAGTACACCTGTGAAACCGCCTGCCAATGATTCCCTAGCAAAGAATGGCGCGTGTATCGTGCAAACAGCCCCACGACGATGGCCACTACCACCCAGTGGGCCAGCAACAACCCCATCCCTACCCCGAATCCCGTCCATTGAGTAGGAAATATCGCCGCGTCCGAGAAAGCGGCCTCGGCAGCCTTACTCTCGTCGATTCGCAGGAGCGAATCGTAATAGGCCATCTGGAAGATGCGTGTGAGAAGTGCTTGTAGGGCCATGGCAGGGCTCTGCGTCTGGTTCAGCATTCCCTGGAATAAATCGATATGCGCATCGTGCGCTATGGCGCCTATCATTGACCCCCGGGAGAGAGAGAAGCCCGCGTTGACTCTCTGTTTGCGATTCTCCGGTGCGACATCTATATCCTTACTTTGTGATTTATCCAGGCCGTTGACGAAGGCATTCGCCAAGATCTGGGTATTCACGACGTAGTGCTGGATAGCGGAGACATTCCCTGAACTGGAGAAAGGTTGCCAGTCCGAGCGGGGAGAGAGAGCGAGCACGCCCCGGTGGTCTAGTTGCTGGCGGGGCAGGACCGCACCCAGCTGTGTAAGCAAAGTTGTAGTGTTGTAGCGCTCCGTAGTGCGGTTCCAGGACATGGCGGGCTCCGACACTTCCCATTTTCTGTCCAGTTCCGCGGTAAACGTATCCACATCAAGACTAGTCATGCAGGCCGTCACCCGCACCGCAGGGGCATCTATCCCGTTTCCGACCATCACCCAGGGACTACTGGTAGTGTCATTGTTGTTAACGCTGTGGACTTCTTGCATGGTGCCGCGTCGGATGGCCGCCGGGGAGACGGTGTCTAGAAGCATAAACATCGCGGGTGCATCCACATAGGCGTCCAATGATGAGTCGTTGACGGCGTCTAAGCGTGGCACCAGGAGGCTTTCCGCCGAAACATCCCAGTCCACGCCATTGTTCGGCCAACATAAGGTCGTCTGTTCTTGAACCCGGGTAGCGATCGACCTCGGGTCGGCCATTGCGCACGCAAACGGGAGGTAAGGTTGACTCTCCGTCCTCTGTAACATTGGATACGTGTTATTAGCGATGGCAATCTGTCCCGTAAGAAGTGGGAAGGCTGTGCCGAGCGCGTCGAGGCGAAGGTCACGGAGTGTAGGTTGTACACAGACAACCCGTTGATCGACGATTGTGGCTGGGCCCCGGAAATAGCGTATCGATGTCCGCTGCGCCTCGTCTAGATAGGGTAAGAAGGCGCGGTACGTGTGACCTGTATCATCGTACTTGGGCCCAGTTACAGACGGTTCCCATCGCTCAGCAAACGTCCAACTAGCCGTCGGTCGCATTGACCACCAGGCCTGGTTAGTTGTCCTTTGGTAATGATTCAAGATCCGGACATTAGTCGTATTACTAGGTCTAGTAAATACGCCATTCCCGAAGTCAGCCACGAGAAGGGTGGAGAGAAACTGTATAGCGATAGTCATCGACACTTCTAAGACAATGAGAGTAAATACCACGGCCGAAAGACCGGTTTTGCGCAACGGTAGGCTCGGGTTCAATAGCAAATTACTCGGGCTCCCACTTAGAGCGCGCGTAGTGGAATAAAATGGCCCGTCCACTAGGGGAGTCCCGACGCGCTCTATGATAATGCCGGCAAACATCGCAGTCATCACGCTAGCCTGGGTCGTAACCACTATACGTAGAATGGCCGTGCAGATAGTGACAATCCGCGTGGTCCAGTTTGCTCTGGTGATCGTGACCCAAGCGGTGCTTGGTACTTGCCCTGCGGCTGCTGCCGTGGACTCGGCCCAAAGCCAGGCCAAAGGTAGGACTGGTAAGATCAGCAAGATCGAGCCGAGACACAAAACAAGGATGTGAACGGTTCCGAGCCGGGTCCATATAGATATATGTTCTTTTGCAACTGTGGACTCATCTTGGGTCTGGCTGTGAGCGTTATCAGGTGCCGACAACGGAGTATACACGACCGCGCCACTGTCTCTGGGTCGTGCCATGGCAGGTCAGTAGTGGCATCAAATACCCAAAATGACGACCTAGCCGGTGATGGTGAAAGGAGAAGAAGAAGGATGATATATAGTCACATTAGGCGCTAAAAAAAAAAAAAAATAGTCTAGGGAGGTACCAAGCAAGCCGTTCTGCGGGGAATAAAGAATACAGTAAGATACCACTAGGCCAAATCCCGATCAGACACTGACATTTTCCACAATGTTGCCCATATGGATATCTTGTGGCAATGTTGCATTTGCTAATACGGACGCTAACTCGTTAGAGCAAAAGATCCATAGGTAGTTCATCCATCTCAAGCAGGTGTCAGCCTGGCATAGAGCCTGCGCTGAGCAGAGAGTGAGTGTCCGACAAATCAAGTCATGGTGATAGTGAGAGTGACTCCGCAAGGCACATGCCCAGCCCTAGAGGTAGACTAGTGCTTATAAACAGCTGGCGCTACTCTGTATATGGTGAGGATTCGCGTTTAAGGAAAACCACTAGTCTTAATTCGTCCAAAGGTAAATACGGAAAGGCGGTCTCAAAGGCGGTCATTTTCGGCCTCATTTTTCCCACCTGGGCACTTACATTTTAAGTCATAAACTGCGTAACTGGTTTTTGCCCCCAACCGGAATAAACTTCTCTTTGGTCGTGAGATATTCAGGCCAACACCAATTGCGACAACTTGATACCCTCTACATTTCTACCCCTATGAGCATTCGCTTTTGTACTCCTTAAACTTATCCTAATTGCTCAAGCTCTTGAAATTTGATCAAAGCCATCATCTATCCCCAGCCGCAACAAACACCCACGCCATACGGGGCAACGCCCAAACCAAACCAGTCCTTTTTCACAATGTCGGAGCCACCTGCAAAGCGTGCTCGCCGAGCCGACAGCTCTACTATGTGGGATTTGAGTGATAAACCTCGTGCCCCAGGGCAAGGGTCTGACCGCGATCGCAGACGTTCACCAGCCCTCCGAGATGACCGACGCGACGGTCGGTATCGCTCTCGCTCACGAGAACGCAAAGATGGAAGGCGAGAACGGAGCTGGTCTCGAGATCGCCGCGACCGGGATCGACGAGATGGAGACAAAGATGGGCGTGGGGCCCAGGACCGAAAGAGGAGCACCAGCCGGGATCGCAACCAGGATAAACGAGGTTGGTGAAATATTCAACTCAATAGGTGTATTTGTGCCTTGCTAACATATGGATGTCAGGTAATGCACCTAGAACTGTTAAGTTCCGCGAACGTTCCCGCTCCCGATCTGCCCAGCGCAATGGCCCAAAGCCCCGGTCACCCCCTCGAGGCCCGAAGAGTGACCGCCATGGCGACCGCAAAGATACTCGGTCGCGAGATGATGCGCGTACGGCAACTGGCGCACAGGCAGGGCCGGTACGTCGTGAGGATGAGATGGACGTCGACTTTAATGAAGATGCGGATGAGGACGAATTCGAAGCACAAATGCGAAAGAGCATGGGTTTCACCAGGTTCCGGAGTACAAAGGACACCAAAATCCCGGGAAACAACATCTATGGTGTGCGGAAAGAGAAGAAGATCGAGTACCGACAGTACATGAACCGCCAGGGCGGTTTCAACCGGCCTCTCAGTCCCTCGCGATGAATCTTCACTACATGTACTCCTACGGTCAAATACCTTCTTTGTATTCAAAAACTGGACATTTTTCGGCTCTCTTCCGACACGATTTGCATTTGAGGAGCATGGTTTCGTTTGCGTGATACTTTACCTTCCAATTGGAAGCCTTTGTTGATTTACTATCAATCCCCATTACTTCAAATACAGTGAACAAAAAAAAAAACACCCACTGAATTATCAAGTAGCCAAACCTCTAGAGAGAAAAAAGCCTGTCGTGGTGAACTTGATTGCGGATGCGTGACATGACTGGACATACCTCTATCTCCACCTGGGCAGTGACGTAGCGCCCCTGGTATATACCTACGCACACCTGCGGTCCAAACTGTCAGTTACAACTCCCTACACAGTGGCCTCATTGCGTTCATTAGCGCCCAATACAGCATCAAAATTCAAGATGTCAGCAGGGGATCAACGTGAAATTGTTATTGTTGGTAAGAATAGATTATTTGTGACTTTAGTACCCCGCGCGCTATATTCGCAATCCGCTGACCAAAATACTCACAGGCGGTGGCATCATTGGATGCTGCTCTGCATACTACCTTACTAGACACCCATCATACGACCCTGCCCGTCACAAAATCACTCTCATTGAGGCCTCTGAAATCGCCGGCGGGGCATCGGGAAAAGCGGGCGGCATGCTGGCCCAATGGGCCTTCCCCAGCAATCTCGTCGGTCTCAGCTACAAGCTGCATGCTGAACTCGCAAAAGAGCACGATGGTATCAATCGATGGGGATACAGGGAGGTCAATTGTGGCCAACTCGTTGTGAAAGGTCGCGCCCTTGCCGAGAACAGCGCAGGAAAAACCGGTAGAAATACGGAATCCCTCCAGAAACGCAGCACAGCAGCTATGTCTAAGCTGAGATCTGCCAAAATCCCCGAGGACTTGGATTGGATTGAGCCAGAACTTCTGCGGGCCTACGAAAGTATGAGTGGACCGGGTGAAACCGCTCAAGTACACCCATATCTCTTTACTACGTCCATTGCAAAACTCGCCCAGGAGAAGGGAGTAAATATCATTCTTGGACAAGTTACAGATATTGCTCGGTCCAAGAGCTCCGTCGAGTCAGTGACATACACCGATAACAAATCAGGTGAAACACAAACCATCACTGCTACTGATGTGCTCGTTGCTGCTGGACCTTGGACGAATACTATCCTCCCGGAGGTCCCGATCTCAGCTATGCGGGCCCACAGTGTGGTGATCCAGCCAAAGAGACCAGTCAGTGGATATTGTCTGTTTACGAATATCGAAATCCCGGCCAACTTCAACCCGGAGAAGAAGTCTCGCCCAACTGTGGCTGCGCCAGAGATCTACGCGCGTCCTGATAATACTGTCTATGCATGTGGCGATGGAGATAGAACAGTTCCGTTACCAAAGACATCTGCAGATGTTGAAGTCGACCAGGAACGCTGCCAGGAAATTATAGACCACGTGGGTAGTATATCTGACGAGCTGCGCGACGGAGAGGTTCGCACTCGCCAGGCTTGCTATCTTCCAAACTGTGATTCTGGCTCCGGGCCGCTACTTGGTCTGACTGATATGAAGGGGCTGTATATTGCAGCTGGTCATACCTGCTGGGGTATTCAGAATGCGCCGGGTACAGGAAAGCTCATGAGTGAGTTTGTATTTGATGGCAAGGCGAAGAGCGCGAACATTGAATCGTTGGATCCACGCGAGTTCATGTGAATACGTACTTGATACCACAGTTTCTATAACAGAAAAGACAGCCCAAATTTTCTATGCTGCTGAATACATATTAATTTTTAGATACATATGTATGTAGTGTACAACTTGTAGACGAGGTGGGCACTAAAGCGGAAAGAAAGGCGGGTGACGTCCGTTGACATTGTTCGGTACGCATATGGGTCTAGTCTCGATTAAGCAAGCGGTAAGTGGAGATACACCTATAGCTTATCCCGCGGAGAGGACAGCAGTCAATTGAATGAGGCTACATTATGCGTCACCTCAGGATTTCAGTCTTATTGACGTCCCTCTTGTATGCAATTGGGATTGTTGCAAACGAAGATCCCCATGATGTATCCGTCTTAATTCGAGAGGCCGGACGAGCCAGCAACCAGTCCCTGCTATGGGGTCCTTACAAGTCGAACCTCTACTTTGGAGTGCGCCCTCGCATTCCGAAGAGTCTCACGGCAGGATTGATCTGGGGGAAAGTTGACGATTATGCTGGTGCCCAACAAAGTATGCTCATCTTGGTGCCCCGGTTGCAATAGTGAACTGTGAAGCTAACATCCACTCAAGACTTTAGGCACACCTGTGAGCAAAACGAAGGAATGGCCGGGTATGGCTGGGACGAGTACGATATCCGAAAGGGTGGACGGGAGACTATTCACGACGCTGGGAACAACTTGGACTTGACGATTGATTTCATCAAAGTTCCCGGTGGGCAGCACGGAGGTAGTTGGGGATTCCGAGTCAAGGGCACGCCTAGAGAGGGCGCAGATCCCGACCAGCCCATCTCGATGATCTTTTACTCCACTCTCGAGGGCTTCGGTCACTTGGGGGCCGATTCTGTATCCTCTGAATCCACTGGCGTGGAAGGCAATGTCAAGCTCGAAGGATACACCACAGAACTCGGTGATTTTGCTATCGATATCACCACTGGACCGGAAACCAACTCGCATCCCCGCTACAATCATCCTAGCTCCACTGACAAACCATTGGATCGCAGCATTGTAGCTAGTGTGGCCTTCCCAGAGGAGCAGCTTTGGCAAGCAAAGGGAATCTTCTTCACTCAATTGAAGGCGGAGGTTGATGCTGCCCTTGAAGAGTATGGAAAAGAGAACGTCCCGCCCCCGGCCCAGCTGTTTACCATCAAGCATAAGCCTGGCCAGGGTAATGCTCAGCTTGTCCAGAAGGTTTTCACAGGTGCATTCGAGTTTGATGTCCTGTACTCCTCGGGCTCCGCCCCCGAACCATTAACCTCGGAAACTCTCACCAAGGAGATTGATGATGCTTCGGCTTCATTTTCTGAGACGTTTGAGCAGCTTCTTCCGCCACAGGCACCATTTGACTCGCCGAAATACTCGAGCTTCTCAAAGGCAATGCTCTCTAACCTCATTGGTGGTATCGGGTTCTTCCACGGTGATGATGTCGTCGATCGGTCTGCAAACCCTGCGTATGAGGAGGAGAATGAAGGCTTCTGGGAAGAGACTGCTGAAGCCAGAGCTGCCGTGCAGCCTGTTATCGAAGGCCCGAAGGAGCTTTTCACTTGCGTTCCCTCCCGGCCGTTCTTCCCTAGAGGATTCCTTTGGGATGAAGGTTTCCATTTGATTCCTGTGATTGAATACGATACCGATCTCGCGTACGTTGACACCTAATTTTGTATCATTTGCTGGTTTTGGCCGATATACTGACTCTTACAGGCTCGAGATTATCAAGAGCTGGTTCCACCTGATGGATGAGGATGGATGGATTGCCCGTGAACAGATTCTAGGTCAAGAGGCACGCAGCAAGGTCCCCCCGGAGTTTACAGTCCAATATCCCCATTACGCCAACCCACCTACTCTGTTCATGGCTTTGGAAGCATTCATGGACAAGGTCAAGATTAACAACAACAAAAGCAGCGACTTTGAAACCCTGGATACCCAAGATGCGACTGCGAGCCTGCGCTCTGCCACTGTCCGCTACCCGGAACTGTCTGAGGCATATCTTCGCTCATTCTACCCGCTCCTAAAGAAGCACTATAACTGGTACAGGAACACTCAGCGCGGTGACATCACATCGTATGACCGTGAAGCTTTCTCAACCAAGGAAGGTTACCGCTGGCGCGGACGTTCCGTGCAGCACATCCTCACTTCTGGCATCGATGACTACCCCAGAGCTCAGCCGCCACACCCCGGTGAGCTGCATGTCGATCTGATCAGTTGGATGGGAATGATGACTCGCGCTATGCGTCGTATTGCCGAAAACCTCGGCGAGGAAGAAGATGTCGAGCAATTCGCCTCATATGAAAATGCTATCACTCGTAACATTGATGACTTGCATTGGAACGAGAAGGAGCAAACCTTCTGCGATGCGACTATCGATGAATATGAAGAGAGTGTCCACGTCTGCCACAAGGGCTACATCTCCATTTTCCCCTTCCTGACTGGTATGCTGGGTCCTGACAGCCCGCGCCTCAAGGCCGTGCTGGACTTGATCAGTGATCCCGAGGAGTTGTGGAGTGATTATGGTATCCGCAGTTTGAGCAAAAAGGATAAGTTCTACGAGACCGATGAGAACTATTGGAGAAGCCCTGTCTGGATTAATATCAACTACTTGGTGTTGAAGAATCTCTATGTAAGTGCTTCCATCTTTCGATTCATTCCCCGCAAAATCTAACAGCACCTTCACAGGACACTGCCACCGTTGCTGGTCCTCACCAGGAACAGGCGCGGGAGATGTACTCCAACTTGCGCAAGAATTTGGTCGAGAATGTCTTCCGCGAGTGGAAGAAGACTGGGTTCGCTTGGGAACAGTACAACCCTGATTCGGGCAACGGCCAGCGGACACAGCACTTTACCGGCTGGACCAGTATGGTGGTGAACATGATGTCCATGCCGGATTTGGCAGGATCTGCCAAGACCACTCATGACGAGTTGTAAGCTATTGAAGCCCAATGTGAAAAAGTTCATCACATAAATTAGATAGTGGTCATTCTGATAGTTGTACACAATCATTTATCCGACATTTGAATCAATTCCTCCAACGCCAAGCTAATGTAGCAATTCATACCCCCGGTTTGTAGCTCAACGGCGGCGATCATAATCATCTCGGTCTCGTCTGCGTTCGGGGTGCCGCCGGCGCTCAGCCGGCGAGTAGCTGCGCTCCATCCGTCGTCGTTTCTGGTGTTCCTCATCCTTGCGGCTAGGTCGACTCCTAGAACGCGAGACTGAGCGCCGTCTGTGGTGGTCTCGGCCGCGGGATCGTGACCTGTGACGATGGCTGCGATGATGGCGCTCTCGGTCCTCATTATGTCTGTGATGCCTCCGGTTCTTGTCACGTGAGTAGTCGTCACCTCGGTCATGTCGTCTTTCCCGTCCCGGACTTCTGGTTCGCTCACGTCTGCGTCGGTGACTCGAGCGGTGGTCCTTCTCCCTGATTGCAGCATCCGGCATCTCTTCTTCTTTTGGCGCGATATCGGTACTACTGGGGCCCCCTAAGGGAACCATATTGGCGTTTTCAGATGCTTTTGCGGGCACCGGGAGGCCCAGAGCGATGGCCATTGCTTCCTCCTCAGCCTCCTTGACACGTTGAAGTTCCTCTCGCTCTTTGCGAATTCGTTCTTGCTCGTCTTCGTCTCCCTTGGCATACCAGGCAAGGTCACGCTTTTGTTGCCATCTGCCGACTGGGGCCATCACTGAGTGACCTAGGTAGTTCTCGCGATGAACGGAACTTTGGACGTCGGACCATTTGAACTCATTGCGGCCGCCGCTGAGACAAAAATTAGCAACTTTCAACATGTGCAAATCATAATAATCAGCAAATCAACTCACCGGCTGCCTTCTTTGCGTACACCAGCAACCAAATCCATAATGCGAGATAATTTATGTTGAATAACTATGTTGGAGAAAGGAGGAAGCTCGCGGGCCAAGTCCTCAAGGCCGTAAGCAGTTAATGATGGTCCGTGCGTGGGCGGTCAGCCATTCCATCATCCGATCATTGCACCTCCCCGCAGCTATGGAGGTGTTTTCGACCAGCTTGATCATGATCTATTTACGAAGTTTTCACCATTCTGTTTCCTGTGGCTTGGACTTCTCGCCCTTGGAAATGACAGAACAAGCTTCCTCACTTAATATCCACGACTCTCTCTATTCAGATCCAAGGAAGTATTCTCCTCTGTGCTCCACTATTCGAAACAAACACCCTTAGCCTGCGGCAATGTCTTCTCCTCTCACAGAGGAGACTGGCTCTACACACACTGAGAGGGAATTTCCAGGATACCGGCCCCAAGTGCAAATCTTAAATACCGAAACAGGAGAGGAACGGGTATGTTTGTCTTCGTTGGCTCACGTGTGAACTATGAACTGACTTGTGCTAGTTTTCTGAGTAGGTATTCACGCTTATACAGCCTAATTTATACCGTGGCTGATTGTCATTGAGCTACAGGAATTCTTCTGCGCCAATTGTATCTGCTTGGAGGTGTAACTTGGTGAGTACCTACTGACCTAGTTGTTGCTTCCACTGTATTATCTCTCCTCAGTTCTAACCTTAATTGTGAAAGGCGGCCCTCTCACAACGTCGAAATCTCCTCTTTACGGCTCATGTCAACGATATTTACGTATGGATTCCTAGTGGACCTCGCCAGCTCCTTGGCTCCCAGCCTGTGATGATCATTCACCCAGTGATGAAGGAACCAAATGCGCCTGGATATATCGACCGTTCTAGGCCTCACACTATCAACCATATCCTTGTGGATGATTTGGGAGTTGACGAAGTCTTGCTGTTAGCGACAGACTCTGGAAATGTCACTGGATACAACGTCGAGGCTATCTTCTCGGCAATCAACAGGAGCGCCAGATACGGAGGCGGTCGACCATTTGATGCGCATGAAGTCAAGCCTTTCTTTGCTGAACATGTTCAGTTAAGTGCCTGGGGCTTGGCCACTCATAAATTTGCTCGGTTGATTGCCGTGAGCGCGAACACGGGTGTTATCACAGTCTTTGCCTTCGCATTAGTTGATGATGCATCTGAGAGTGATGATAGCAGCCCCAGTTTTTCTGAAACCTCGGACGTGGGAGGCACCGATGTTCTGGAAAGCACATGGGTATCAATAGACAGCGCACCATTGCTAGAGGAGCTGAAAAAGGATATGCCCCATCATCGAACACGCAACCTACGACTCAGCTACAAGGGTCATTATGAAAACATACCTTGCCTGTCATTTGCCAATTTCGAATTGGACCCCAATGGTCTATGGATGGTCAGCACTGATATCCTCAACCGAGTCTTTGTATGGAGAGTCTGGGACAAACTGACTCCTGTCAAAACATCCACATACGATCATTCAAGGGATGCTGAAGAACAAAGAGGCTGGTTTGTCTTGCCTTTACATCCTCGCAGAGTTCAGCAGCACCGCTACAAGTTTGATGCCTGTGGATGTGAACCACGGCCAAAAATGATGAATGGTCGGATGGTTTTTGACGTGTCGGATACGGTTGACGATGTCATAGTCAGATCCAACCTCGCTGCCCAGAAAGTTGCTGATGAGGAAGATGCAACAATTTCGAGCCTGTTTATGCCAGATGATATTTTCTCTCCTAGCTGTTCTGTTCATACTGAATGTCGCCCGCAACCATCAAACTCAGAGCATAATCATACAACTCTAGAAGCATTTGAAGCTGCTTCTCCTGCCGCTGCCAGTGACAGCAATGATACCAACCTTGAAGTACCACAAGACCATGAGGAGACTCCGTCCCATGAATCCAGTCGTCTAAGATGTGGTATCACGAGTTTGGTTGAAGAAGAAAATGAACAATGCGCCGTGGATACCGTTGTTGATGTGGATGTTTTGAGGTGCTTTGTATCCCATCGTAAGTAAGAGATGTGCTTTGATATCTTGATCGGAATTCTAACCTGGCATTCAGCGTGCAACCCTCGATTTTTCCCTATTCTCCACTTCTCTGGAAGTGACATTACTTTAGATCCTTATCCATTAGACCGTGGAGCGCGGACGCTCTCTCGGTCTCCCCTGCGCTCACTGGTAGAATATTCCATGTTCTCTTCCTGTGATCGCTTAAACTTGGTCAAGTACCTCCCTGAACTTGGGATCATCATTGTCGCCTCCCAAGCCGGCGGGGTTGCCATCATCACTCTTACATGGCAGGAGGAAATCGGCCACACCTTTCGCCTAGACTGGCTTCTCCCTTTCCCTACCCAGGAGAGAGCTGATGGATTTCCAACACCACCTCTCATGGGTATTGCTGCAAGTCCCATGCCTGGGTTTGAGATACCGCCCGATGTTCCTTGTATTCCTCGGGATGTCAGCCCCAAAGATCGGATGGAATTCAACCACCGTCTGCTCAACCCAGACCGAACTGAGCCTTGTGACACAACCCCGCCCGAATATGAGGCTTCCAGTCCCTCCGAATTAGACTCATGCACCAAAGAGCCGAATCTCACAATTCCTGAAACACACGCATATGCCTCGGACATCTATCAACCTCATGAGACCTGGCATGGTTACCACCCTTCTCGGCATTATAGGTTACTTTTGCTATTCTGTGATTTTACGTCCATGAGCTATGAGTTCTGGCACGACTGGAGACGCTGATCGCAATCACCAAACCAGGTTGCGCTTCTTGGATGTGCTTATCCAAAGAAACAGATCTACCAGTGTTGGTATCTAATTGTACAATTGCATGTCAAATCACCTTAAATGACCAATACAAGTATCTGTGCCAATATTCCACAATAAATGAAGAAGTACGTGACGTTCAGCGTGGCTAATTCGGACAGTGGTCCGTGGGCGACTTCAAGGTTGAGGTAAGTAACTCTGATTGGTCCCTCAAAATAAGCTTAAATCCGTTGGAAGTCTCGACACCTGGAACTTCCACGTGCGCCTGGGCAAGACCGGAATATTTAAGATTCGCATTTCGATATTATGGAATATTGGTAGACACTCCCACATACTTTAGCCATCAAGCGCAGCCTCCGAACTCAAGCCAAGGTATTCCACGAAGCAGTATGCTATAACTTGAAGGACCGCCCCCGACAACCTCCTAATCCCGGGGATTCTATTATTCGTACAGTTACTGGCCAGAAAAGGGGGAAAGGAAGAAATATTGATCATTCGCATTCTACGAGAAATCAGATCCCTAGAATGTAACAAATGATTCCTCATTCTACAGGCAAATAAGAATTATTTATGGGAGACAGCATCATCCAACGATTATTGCCATTCAAGCCCTTCACAAGATTCCACTTAATTTATCCTTTATCAGCTCGCAGTCAGAAACTAAAGGTCACTGGGCCTACAGCAACTTCAGGCATCCGATAGCATCCAGCAATGATGAACTTGACTTCCTAGAAGCCACAAAAAGCTTGACTTATCTACTAGCACAATGCAAGAGTCCTTCTTGTAAGGCATCAACCTGACCTATCTTATGCACTCTGTTTCACGTATCCCAATTCTGCGAGTGGATTCGACAATACCTTTGGCAAGTTAGCCGAAACCTCATGATTCAAATCATCGCCAACTATGCGTCCGGAATAGGAGTTGTTTATCATTGAAATTGAGCTATTGCAGATCGAACTTTGTTGAGAAATACATCTTCTGATCCAAATTTTAGTACTCCGTACGGTGTACTCTCTAGCCGGGGTATGTTCCATATGATTAGAAAGTACCTCGGGATAATGTTCTATTTTAAGCTGTCGTTCCTCACCAGTTACCTCTTTCTGAATTCATCTTTGATTCATTATTATGACGCGCCCATGTCCTACTACATATGGACTAGGTACTCAGTAGTTTTTCCAGAATCCACTTTTTGGCCCCTCGGGCAAGTTGCCAACACTGGCACGAACATGACATAAACAAGGGGGTGGCACTGTATAACTATACTATAAACCTGATATAATTGGGGACTCGCTTCATTGTGATAGTTACACTTGTCGCCATTGATTAGTTCCCAGATTTTATATTGTACTATAGGAGTCCTTCGACAAATTAAGTGGAACTAGACTGCCAAGGCTGGCTAGCCGAAAGAAATGACAAGTAATTAATTCGTAAGGCTAATGTAAGGCTAATGTAAGGCTATAATTAACTAAATAAATTACTATCGTCCCTACTATTGTGGAGCCTGGAGCTTAACGTAGCTTAGCGTGGGTGCTTGATGTGGCTTGAAGGGGCCCCGGCTCCCGGGATCTTTTGAGGGTGGAGCTTTTGATAAGACTACAACGGTCCAACTATAACACACAGAGCCACCAGGGGTACAGTACTCTAGGGTGAGGCACTCGAAGAATCCGATGCACATGGCTGCGCTGAATATGGAGTATACGGAGTACAGGGTATAACCTGCTCAGATAGTTCGGAGGTGGGGACTCCGATATAGGTGTAGTGGAGACTTACCAACATGTATAATGATCATCGGTGACACGCGACAGCTCGGATCTTTCGTCTGCAGCAACTAGTACAGAAGCTCATGCTTTGGCATTTAGCAAGCAGGGAGGATGGAGTTCCTCACCGTATTATAAGACAGGTATTAACTACCGGATACCCTCATTCTCATATATTTGTACGAGTTTTGGTAAACATTATCGACTCAAGATGTCTTGTGTACCCACAAACACATGCTTAGGCATAGTGGCCTAAGGGGAGTATCCTAAAAAGGCATTTGGTGGCAGCATTAACCAAATACTATGTTGTGTATATGGCTATTGTGTCATGCTATGAGCCCGCACTCTCAGGGGCCATCTAACTCAGTGTGTATAAATATGCCTCTGTGCTTCTATCAGAGCCGGGTTCCAAAGGGCTACATCTTCAGTCACTCATCCTATTGACCTCAAGGTGATACGTTCCGATGCATTTCAGCCAGTTCGGTACTCTGGTGTACCTCTTGACTCCGGTCAGTGGTATAGCAGTCAGGCCTCATGGAGGAGTCCCTCATGTCCCCCGAGCAGTATCCTCTGCACCCCCCTCCTCCACATCAGCCCCAGCGAGCCGTATTGTCAACTTCGGGGCTGCTATACCAACTACATCCTCCAATTCGGATGGCTCTGACTTCAATGTCACAAGCCTTTGGACAACTGCACAGTGTAACCAGAATTCCATTGACGATGCTACTGTCGCTTTCATTGATCGGTGGTATGCGTCAGGCGCTCCAGGTGCCTGGGATGCGGTGCTTAAGGAGTGGGAAAATGGAGCTAAGGATGGTTTGTATCGCAACCTCGCATTCCCGGCGTTTGTCAGTTGGTACTTCCACGGTCCGGAACAATGGAACTGTAAGGATATCGATAGCGTCCCATGCTCTTCCGTTGTCCGGTGTGACGAGGTCAATCATCCAGCGGGGTATGTATTCAGTCATAGGTACTGCCTGGCACCATTACAGTCGTGTTAACAGCACAATAGCTACCTTATCTTGAATGCTTTCTCTGGTGTCCATCAGGTAAGCTCTTCCTGTCCCAAATTCAACCTTCGAGCAGGAGATATTGACCAGAAAAAAATTATTACAGCTACATAGTGGGATGTCTAGCGCAATCGATGCGGCAACAATTGGAATCCAGAGCAAGATAGGTGAATTTACTGGCATCTTTGCTCCGCAGAGCGATGACACCAAGATCATTCTGGCAATATTTGACGCCTTGACCCTCATGATGGGCTTTACTGTTTCGGCGTTCTACAGTGTCGGTAAGTATAAAGGCCACATATTTTATTCAAAAGCCTCTAGGTTATAGACTAACAAAAATTCAGCTGAAAAGGATATTGAAAAAATAGCCCAGGGAGCCACCACTGCCCGTGTGAGCATTCCAAGGAATCGCGAAGCTGGCACTCAAGGCCCTCTTGAAGCTCCTGAAATTCAAGAGTATCAATTAAAAACATTCGAGAGGACAAAACAGGCGTTGAATGGAAAACCACAGGAATTCAATGGTCATGCCTATGCTAACGACATGACATACCAACTTTACACCATTTCAGCAGCCTTCACCAGAAATAATGCTCCCACGTAAGTATAACTCTCAAACATCCTGGATATCCTTGCTGATCAGAATAGCGTTCACAATAAACTTGATGCTCAGAACTCACTAAGCTCTGCTCTTGGCGACATGTTTAAGTCTTGGAAGGATATCGAGTCCTCCTATCTGAACAACATATTTTCCGGCGACAATTCCTCTCTCGGTGATCTCACACGCCTAATTGACGAAGGAAAGATGAACTTCATTCCAAATAAGCTAGACACATCTAAGATGGCAGCAGAGTTACAGGCTGTATTCTATGGTCAACTGCTTCCTACTGCGTGGAAGACCGCCTCCGATAAGCGCGGCGCTTTCCCAAGAATTGTGTAAGATGATTCAATCGTTATTTGAGAAAATGGTGCTGATCAGAATACTATAGGAGGACGAACCTCCCCTGTGACATCAAGTCCTCCCACATACCTGAGATCAGTGACTACGATACTATGAGAGACGTGGACTCTGTCAGCACACGCGCGTGCTGGAGGGAGAAGCTAGTGTTCCTTGTGAATATTAATGAGTATCAAGGGGGAAAGCCGGTTGCCTGGACACCACTACCTGGTACGACTAGAAGCAATCTAAATGGCGATAAATGGGGAGGCATCACATTTGACGACATTGTTGCGAGTGCAATGACCGGATATGAGAAGGCTGGTTACAAAAACGGCTACAAATCGCCGACCGCTGAGGATATTGAGAAGATCACGGATGCCGATAAATATGGGAAGCGAGTCCGTTATCCTGGCTTCTTCAATATCCCTGTATGCGAGGGTCTGGATAAGACCAAAGCCAGTCTCCGGAAGCAGTTTACCTCGAACTCTCCATTCTGGCCTTGTGATGCACCAGAGGGTTTCAACAGCGAAGGAACTACTATTGTATGTCTAACCCGTTTTTGAATTTTCAGACATATGCTAATCACCGGTATAGCATGTGAACAAGGGGTGGATTACTGCTAATGCTAAGACTCCTGTCTGTGATACTTTCAGTAAGTGGTTGCGATGTCTTTGTTTTCATTAGGGAAGCTAACGGCGTGGTCTCCAGAGGTTGATGACCCAGGATATGGTGATACCCTCAGTGCAACCTTGTATGGACGATTCAATGCTGAAAACACTGCCGACGAAACTGTCACGGCAACGTGCAAGATCACTTTCTCCTGGCCAAAATCGTGGGCTGATATCTATTATGGAGAGGACAACTGCATGTACAACGGGAATTCTGAAGCAATCAAGGATGCAAATGGCAACCCTGTGTGCTGCAATGAGGACTCAAACCTCACTGAGAAGGTCACTAACCCATACATGACTGGTGGTTCGTGTGATCCACATTGATCTTCGACTCTTGAAGTCCATGTAGTGGAATATGGGGTTGGACAGGGGTGAGGATGCTCTTGGTGGAGAGAACATTGGAAGCCTATTCGGTGTCCTTGATATTTTTGTCATTCTTGTTCTTTTTTCAAATTGAACCAGCTTTGTGTGCCTTTAGATTGTACCAGCCTAATATACAGTCAATTTTACAGTTTATTTTACTTCTTATGAGTGCTGTGATACGTGACGTGGGATGATTAGAACGTTCATTGGCCTAGAAAATTAGGGCTTTGCATGAAGGCCACAAGGGGTGCGTTCGGAAGGATATTCTCTTCCCGGCCAGGCCCTTCCAGGCCCTTCATCGTCTAGTTCTCGAGTGTATTGAGTCACATATCTTTCAATGAGGCCTGGGAATAGCGATTTCAGTGCCAGGGCAGGTCGAATAAACTTATGAAGACCGAGTGTACATAGAACTCCTTTCTGAAAATGGTCAACCTGTTAGCTTATTGCTCGAAAAGATAGGGTAGTCTGAAAGCACCTGGGGGTCATGGTAGGGCACATGATAAATGTCCGGTTCTGTTGTGAAGCACACCCAACAAGTACCAGCAATTCGTAATGTCTCTGCCTTAGTTGTCCCGCTGAATATGCCAGATGATGCAGTGTTGGACCTTATTGAAGAAACTGCCATAGTACAAGTAGTCTATATAGAGACTTTCCCCTAATTTGAAGTGTTAGTAGTCATAACCAGATTGCTACTTTGTACCAATGCGCAATGCAAAGCTGTTGTATATCTGGCCAGGTTAACTAATGATAAGAGGTCAATAAATTCACAGGTCCCTGTTTTACAACCAAAGAACAATGACAAAGTCACGCGATCACAATGGAACTTGTAGAAGCATCAAATGAAAATGCAGAATACCAAATAGATAAGGCGCTAGCAACACGCACAATATGTATGGGAAAGCATGTATGAATTCATGGATATCATCCGCGCTTGGTCAGAGAAGAAAGACACTTGTATTGTATGGAGATGAGAAAAAAAGCAAGTGAAAATGAATAGCAAATTGGAAACAAAGCAAGAAAGAAGAGCGAAATGAGATAGTGTAAAAACAGAAAGGGGAATTGATGAAAACCACAGATCAGGAAGGAAGAAGTGGAAAACGTAAAGAAAGACAAAGAAGAGGAAAGGAACATGAATTCGTTGTATGCATCAATGTCATTAAGACGCTTTTTGAATAGGAAGAAAATAAGAAAATTCTGCCCGGTTGAACATAGAACCTCAACCTAGAAGTCATCGTCCATCTCATCACTATCCCATTCGTCTTCACGGTCGTTTTGTACTAGATCTAAAAATCGCTGAAGACCAGGATGGGCTTGTGCTCTACCCGGTCGGATTGCAATAGCCTCCCATCGGATGGGGCCCTCTTCATCTGCTAATGGTTCTGCAGGAACTTCTACCCATCGGACAGGACGTCTAGGATCACCTGCCTGTGGAGGGAGACGATTGGCAGGAACCTCCGCCCATCGGACAGGGCGTCTAGCCTGTCGTCTCGCATTTCGGTCTCGTACCTCAGCCATGGCGCGAGCTTGCGCTTGACGTTCAGCTGCTGCTGCACGGGCAGCTGCGTGATCACGCTGGCCAGGTCTACCACCACCGCGGTTGATTTGTGGTGGAACGGGGGCGGGAGGAGGAGGGTGTCGGCGGTGGAGGTCATCTTCATCGTTATCAAATTCAAATGCAGGGTGGTCGTCGTCGCTTTCGTCGGCTTCTTCGTGGATGGCCACCACCGGTGGGTCATCTTCAAAGTGTAGGAGTGCGTCTGGGATACGGTGGAGTGCTTCGGCTCCGTCGGGGTTGATGCCATCACCACCTTCCAAATCCCAAAGGCGATTGAAGCATTGACCTTTCGGGTCGTTGAAATGCCTGTATGGGTTGTCTGCACATAGCCAGGCCGAGCAAAGGTAGCAGAAGTGCGTGTCACACTGGAAGCAGCGCATGTGGTTGCATCCCATTTGCTTTTGGCAGGGGACATTGCAAGTCGGGCAAGGGGTAGTGTACAGACGCAGGTACTCTTCGGTCGCCTTTTCTTCCTCTGTGGGTTCGCCGTCACGACGTGGGAAGCAGCGTACCAACTCTCCATGCCAGCCCTTCTTGCAGACGCAACAAAAGGCGTAGTTGCAGTCTTCACATATAGACACACGCTCCGCCATAGGTGGAAGCTCTCCATCTTTGACTTCGCTGCGTGGCTCGGGTCCATCTTCTTCGTCAGAGCTATTCAAGTCATCCGACATAGGATCTTCTGGCTTTGGGTGTCGCTTAGATCGTGCAGCTCCCTGGCACCATTGCCGTGGACAGTAGACTGTGGTCTTGTCGGCTTCAATCTTCTTCTTTCTCTTGAGGAACGCATATCTTTGAACCGTTTCAGCAGCCAGAGGAATCTGGAGTAGCTCACTTGGTCCCAGGGTACGATCACGCTTCTTGCGGGGCGGGGTCTGGCCTTCACCTGGTGCAGCTACATGTCTCTTGTTATACTCGCAATCCGGCGCCATGCATTTAACGCTATCAACATCACCCTCGGTGATGCAGGTGTTGTAGAAATTCTGCAAGCATTGAATGCAAAACACGTGGGAGCAGCGAAGTAATCGATAACAAACGGTGCCCTTTTTCGGTTCAAGGCATACCCCACATTCAAAAGTCCCCTGCTCAAACTTTTCCCGCTCGGCCTTTTTGTTGTAGTCCAGTAGTGCAATCTTCAAGTCCCGCGGTAAACATACTTCCCCAGACGAATCCTGGATATTGAAAGTTGTTTCCGCAAGTTGCTGGAGGTGGTCGATGTAAGTAAAGACGACCAGATCCTTTCCACATTCTTGCCAGAGTCGGTGGCAATCGTTTGATAATTCATCGATGACCGAGGGAGGTAGCCAGGAGGGGATCGTTCTCAGATGAACGCTAGGCGGTTTTTCACTTGGGTAGCCCTGTGGCAATTCAATCTCGAGGTTAAGCGGAGGCAGGTGTGAGAGTACATGGATGTCTTTGATGGGTGGATGGTCTAGTTCTCCCTTTGACTCGTCCAAGGAAGTTGGAGGGGTTATGGCGGGTGCAGTATCGACCGGTTGCTGAAAACATATTGAAGTTGGGGCGGAAGGTGCGACTGGAAGATCAAGGGCGGCTTTGAATGGAGAGGAAGGATCAATTTGAATTTCGGGAAATATCGCAGCAATCGAGGAAAGCTCGACTGAGCGATCGTCCTCCGGAAAGTCGAGTTCGGTCATGGCGGGATGAAACCGAGTATGTTCACTTGTGAAGATTTCTCTCAAGTGGGGTTTTATATGTATTTGCCTCCGATATGATGCTAGTGAATCACAACTTGGAGACAAGGGGTGTCTCCTGCAAAAGAAAATCTCTAGCAACACTGTCTCATCGTAAGATAACCAAAGGTAATAAATGATGACCGATCCCCAAGTGAACTGTCACTAAGGACGATCGGGCACAAAAGGGGGGGTTATATCCTGCAGGAAGATCTCTTCGAATCAGCGTTGCGACTAAGATCCTGGTAAAAAAAAAAGTCAGACCAACCAAAGATGAAGATGTTCCGAGTATTCGTTCTATGGGCCAATGTTCGGCAGAAAGTCGGGAGGGGTCTAAAAGATGATGCAATAGAGAGTCTGGGGTTTGAAGAGAGAACAACGGCGTCATTGTTTGAAAGTAAGATAGTAGATGAGAGACAATTGAAGAAAGAAAGAGAACCAAAAGATCCAAATAAGATCTGAAAAAGAAAAAGAATGGCAAATCCCCCTCGGATGCCTAAAATATGAAGGAAATAATTTGCCAGTCGAAGTCCCCGCTGCCCAATCTCCTTATCGTGGCGATAAGGAGAAAAAGGTCTTGGCAGTCTTGGCATTGGACACCCTGATATCCCTGAGGGAATCTCCAAATTTAAGGGAGTTTGGAACTTTTGAACTTTTGATCTCTGTCATTTACTCTTTTTATCCAAAATGGGAGACACTCCGCTGGCGTCGTTGTCTCTGACTCATGTCCACTACGTTAGTTACCATTGAATTGTTATTTTTCACTTCACTGACTCGTTTTTTTTTTTTAGAACCCCGAGGACCAACTGTCCTTTGTATCCGCATGGCTGGCCCTGATCCCACAGGCACTATGTGTTTCATATGCAACTTTGATTTGGTCAACAAGAGAGGTTGAAGTCATCTTGATGTTTGTAGGACAAATGGGCTGTGAAGCTTTAAACTTTGTCCTCAAACGTTTCATTAAGGAAGAGCGACCGAAGGGTGAGTTGTCAATGTTGGTCTCGTGGGTACCTTCCTAAACTGACACGTGTGAATTTACAGAAATGTTCGGCAAGGGATATGGAATGCCATCTTCACACGCCCAATTTATGACCTTCTTCTCCGTCTACCTCACCTTCTTCCTTCTCTTCCGTCACAGCAAAGCTTCCGCCAGCTCCTACCCTAATGTCGCCGTCCTCCTACGAGTCCTGGTCATGTTGGGCCTTTGCATTGGAGCTGCCGGTGTTGCTGCCAGTCGGATCTACCTCAACTACCACACCCCGAGACAAGTCCTTGCCGGCTGTGCTGCTGGATTCGTTTGCGCGTGTGGCTGGTTCATGGTCACCAGCCTGCTACGAAGCACCGGGTTGATTGAATGGGCCATGGAGACTACTGTGTCCCGCCTGGTCAGAATCCGTGATCTCGTTGTAAGTGAAGACCTGGCTGAGGCTGGCTGGCAACGTTGGGAGTCTCAGAGATTGAAGCGTCGCGGCCTTGGTGTGAAGAAGTCGGAGTAAGGGGTACCCCCTTTTAGCATATACCTACCATGTAGCGAGTCAGCACCTACTTGTTAGCTTAATTGCTTGAAATCAATTGTATTCTATTCCTTTCTATTCGTTCATCGTAAATCTCGAAGTAAACAGTACACAATAGTTTAAAGTCTAATCACGTGCAAGTTGGCCTCCCGCATCAACACTGCAGCTACCGACCACCTCTCATGCACTACGAAGACTTGC